ATCCTTGATTGCAAAGAGGTAAATACTGACAGTATTCCTAGAGGTTTTTGCTGTATATAGCTTCTTGAAAGGGATTATTCCACAGTAAGTTTTGTGATTGGTTTTAGTGGTTTTTTTGTTATTGTTGTTGTTTTTTTCTGTCCTGGCATTCTGAATTTTCCCAGGATTATGATAATGTCCTCTAGGCCTGAGTTGCAACACAGGTGCCTTGCCATCTTCACTGGCACCAGCCCATCTCCATGCTATACCCTTTAGGCAACAATACTCTTTCTGTAGAGGATAATGCAGCTCTATAAAAACACTCCCAACGCAGCAAAACTGGAGCATTCAGACTTGGTGATTGCTGCTGAACAGAAACATCTCTCAGTGAAATTTCTACCTTTTACATCTGGAAACAGAGGCAGAATCCCAGGTAAAGCAAATATTGATTCCATGAAACATAACAGGTTTCTGCAGTCTGCTTTCAGGCTGAATCTTACACAAACATCATGAAGGAGCTTTAGACACAGAGTGACATAATCTTGGTGCACATTTTTTGCTGTCTTTTGAGCATTTTACTATCCTTACCCTATACAATCACTCATTCTTCCTTGCCCTGCCTTCCTGTCAAAGGATATGAATGCTGCAGATATTTCTTAGCTAAGTGCCAATGTAGCTGAAACTAAGGAATTAAAAAAATTGCTGTCTATATAGCTGTTAAACTAATTTATTCCACTACCTTGAAGGAAATAGGGCAGCTTTTTGTGGTGATTTCATGATTTGATAAGAGGACTTCAGTTCTCAATCCATCGTAATTCTCAGTGCCTGACACTTTGTATTTTGTTCCAGTCCCCACTGAGTTGCTTCCAACTGTCTGCAATCAGATCACTTGGGGATGTTTTGTACAACCTTTTACTTGCCTTTTTTTTTTAAATCTGTAATTCAATTTCGTATTAAAAGACATTCCTCAGTATACACTTAAGTTCTGCTGATCTCAAACTACACAAAATATTTTTGTTTAAAGATACAGCAAGTCCTTGACTCATAAAATACTGCCTGGATCAAGAACTGGGGTAAGGTCTCACCTGTAGTATCTTTAACCCTGTGGAGATGCATGTAGTGAGTTACAGAATGAAAACATATGAGCTCCAAATTCTATAGTCCTACAGAATTATGTAGACCAAGAAGAGATTATTATTTGCCCCTCCCATTTGCTCTTCTCTTACAGTTAAGTGAAAGTCATGCTTGTATCAAGTGTTACTTGTTTCCTGAGCAACTTATTGAAGTAATTTTCTGTACAATACTGAGAAATTAATATTTTTTAAGGGCCAAGAGCAATATAACTGGAAAGTCTTACAAAGTTTGCTTTATTGTCTGCCAATACATTTACCGGTCTGGATTCTTTTAGATACACAGTGGTTGAAGCTGATGTGAATCCCAGAAAATTGGGGCTATGAAAAAGTGAATTCCATTGCCCATGAAAAGCAGAATCAAGACACTTGCATGAATATTTTTTTCTGTGTTTGTGATGTAACAGGTATCTTTATGCTGACATGCTGATTACTAATGGGATGGTGTATGGTGACACACTAGATCTGAAAACCTACAGTGAAAGTCAAGAGACCAAGATAAAGTATATTGAAACCTTGTTCAGGAAATGTCTACAACAGTTGACTATATTGTGTTGTCCTTCACATGAATTTATAGCTTTAAAGGATTTGGAAATTGAAATCATCAAAATAGTTTATTATAAAAATCCTTCCGTTAATTCAATAATTAAATGTTATCTGATACATAGAAACAACTTTCATCTGCATATTTCTGATACTGCTGCATCTTATCCAAATGCTAAAAAATTCAGGAAACATCACTTTGACAACACAACAGCCTGTTCAGGTGCAATGAAAAGAATTTTTTTTTTTTTTTTGAAGTGGGAATTTGCACTTGTTAGTCACACCATTTTTGATACAGGGCTACAGTTCTTGGGCTACCATCTCTTCTGTCCCTACCGACTTGAGTGACTGGATCTCTTGAGAACCTATCGTGAAACTCTTACTCCATCTGAGAGTTTATTTTGCATAACGAACACATTTACAGCAACCCATTTGAAAACCTTTTAGACTTCTTAGTATATGGACTAGGATATTACTTGTGGTGATAGGAAAATAATCTATAGACAAGGGTTCAGAAGATGAGTAAGTATGATGTTACTTTATTGCCAATTTATTTCATAGTATCACATGCAGCTCAGCAAGGGCTGTGCGCCATTATTTAAGAATATTTCACTTTTGAGGGGTATTTTTTTCCGTCTTGAAAGCTAAGAATCAAAATACTTTGCAACTGTCATTTAAAATAGGACCATCTTTGCTGGTTTCTCTGTGAGATTACGGTACTTGTAGTCTAATTGAGATATTTTTAGAACCAGAAGGACCCAGCTGGGAACCAGGTTGTTTGCCCATTGTAAGACACCCAAAATCTTAGCAATCCTTAAACATGTCACATGAACAGTTCTGCATTTTGCCAATACTGGTGTTCACACCAGTTATTTCCTCCACTTTTCAATCAAACACACAGACACAAGTGAGAACAAGAGGGAAACAATTTATTTGACAAGTTGCTTAAAATAAATGGGAGATTTTGAAGGTGATAAGAAATTTTAACAGGCAGAGATAGACCACAACCCCATAGTCAGAGAAAAAGTGGTATTATCAATAGTGTATAGCAAAGCATGAACCCATTTGTAAAAGGAAGTGTTGTATGACTTTGCACACTGTCAATATATAATGATGAAACCCCTAGCCCATAGGCTTGTCTGGGCACACAGAGACTGCAGTGTTGCTAAGACAATGTTACTGCTATAGACACATCTAGATAGTGGTGTATTTACAGCTAGCAAAAATAATGAGTTATGCAGATCAACCCAAACTTGGCTCAATGGAACCTTTTAACTTCCAAAACCCAAGGATATACATTAATTTTCCACACATAATGCACCATGATATCCACATATATTGAATTTGTTAGATATGTTCAATTGCTTTTTGCTAGGATAGCCAGACAGAGTAGGTTTCACTACACATGGCACAGGGGTACTCTGGGCCTGGAACAAGTCTTCTCTGACTACCAGTGCACACACCAGATCAGAGATATTTTGGCATTGCTTGAATGCTTCTTAATATGAAAATCAAAAATCTTGTCATTCCAGCACAAAATATGACCAGCCTTCAGCATCGGGCTCATATTGATATCTGGTCATATTCAGGTGTGGCAAATGACACGTTTCTGTGGTGTTAATGGCAATTAATAGCAGACACTCAGAAACAGCTCAGGAGTGTCAGATGTGCCACCAAGTTAGCACTTGCAGGTGAATTTCACAGTGCAGGATTAAAGTGTTTTATCTTGAGACCTCCTGGTCTTATCATATGATTGCAGAAAGAGAAAAAAAGAAGTGCCTATTATACATCTAAAGCCAAATGATTCACTGCACAGCATATCCACCATCTTCCTTTCAGGGCTATACTTCAAGAGGTTTGGCAGTGAAACAGCCTGGCTGTGTGAGAACAGAAACCTCCGCTGGTGAGCAGGGAGAGTGGCTCTGTAAAATCAGCCACGGAAAGAAAAGCTGAAAAATGGGGTGGGGGCCGTGGGTGTTTTGATTTTAAAAATGCTTAAACGTTCTTTAACTTAGTTGTTTGGGGTTTTTTTTCTATTGAATACATACATGAGAAATTTACAGGAGAAATTTATCACCCACACGGTCTTGTCTGTTTCAGCAGGAAAAGTGTGTTTTCCCACTCTGTGCAATTCCAATTCTTACAATTGGGAAAAGGTAATGAAAACGCCTTGACGAATTGCCCCCAGCCCCCTAAAGGATGGCTGTTTTGTTTCTGGGAGGAAAACCCGAGCAGCTACTTACTTGAGCCGAAAGGCACAGCGTGGCGGTGTGAGGCACTGGCAGTGCGGGAGAGGGGCACGGTTTGTTCCCCCGGAGCGGTGCCGGGTGCCGGCTGGCAGGACGGGACGGGACGGGAGCGGGGGAGGCCGGGGGCCGCCCTGGCCCCGCTCCAGCGGCAGGTGCATGCCGCGGGGCTTCCCCGCTCCGGCCGAGGTAGCTGTCGGTCTCTGTTAAATGGCTGCCTGCTTTTCGGGGCTGCCGACTGCTTCACGGTTTGGCTGCTTGAGGCTTTTTTTTTTGTTTTTTTTTTTTTTTTTTTTTTTTTTTTTTTTTTGGCAGCTCTCCCCCTCCACCCCGCCGCTTCCCTAGGTGAGGCTTCATCCCACTGCCTCGCCGTCCGCCCCCACCTCAGCCCTTCCTCCCCGAGCCCTTCCCGGGGAGCCGCCGCCGCCTCTTCCCTCCGAGCATCCCCCCGGCCCCGCACCCCTCCTGGCTCTCCTGCTCCCGGGCCAGGGTGCGCCTGGATGTGGGCTGGGGCCGGCCCGGCCCGGCCGTGCGAGGCGAATCGCGGCTTTCCCGGGGAGCGGGAGGCGGTGGCCGGTCCGGGGGCGGCGGGGCAGGGCAGGGCAGGAGCTCCGGAGCGCCTCAGCCCGCGCCGGGCACCGCGCCGTGCCGGGGAGCGAGCGGCTCTCCAGCCCGCCTCGATCTCCGTGCAACACCTTCACCCTTGTCCCTCCCCCCACCACCCGCCGGGGTTTTTTTTAATTATTATTTTTTCCTTTTCCTTTTTTTTTTTTTTTTTTTTTTTTCCGCTCCTCCACTCTCCTGCAGCGAGTTAAATATTTCTTTTGTTAATTGACGCCCAAAGTGTTCCCAATCCCTTCCCCGCGTCGCCCGGGCCGACCGAGGACGTGTGCACGCCCAGATCCGCTCGGTGAAGCAGCACAGATCCGCGGGGCCGAGCGGGTATGTGCGTGAGGAGGAGGAGGAGGTGGTGTAAAAGGAGCGACGGGCACCAAGCAGATTTGAGAGGAATAATTTAACTCCGGTGTTTGTTGTTTTTCATGGGTTTGTTTTTTGCCTTCTCTCTCTCCTATCTATCTCGTTTTCTGCTCAGGATTTAAATGTCACTCAAAGCATCCCCAGATCAGCTTTCCGCTCGTCGCCGGTTTCTTCCGAGGCATTAATTGGATCACGCGCTGCATTTGAAGAGCCTGGGTGTTTTACCCGCTAAGGTAAGTGGGTTTATGCACCTACGTGGGGTCTGGATGGTCACTGAAATCCTTTCAGGGTGGTGTTTTTCTTCCCTTAGCCCCCTCCCCCAGCTCCGTGGCCAGGTTCCGTTCTACCTGAAGAACTCGCATCCCTGGGTTAAACATCGGTCGATGTAGGGAAAACGCGCCGGGGGCAGCGGGGTCGCGGGTGCTCCTCAGGCACCAGCCAGTGACCAGAGGGAGCCGGCGGTCGCAGCCGGCGACCCCCTCAGCTCCCAGAGCCTGTGCTCCGGGAATAGCGCCTGGCATCACAGTAAGGAAAGAAACAGCCTAATCCCCTCTTACAAGAAACTATTCGTCATCATTTTTTTTTCCTCCGTGAGAAATATTGTAGGCGCTCATCTCCCTCCTCCCCCACCGCCCGCCCCCGTTGCCAGCGCCGGCTCCTTTGCCCGCACCTCTCCTCGCTTCAGGCGGTTCTTTCCAGGGACTAAAAAGTTAAGCTGCCCCCTCTCTCCCCCCACCTGCCCCCATACGTACGCAGTGCATTCGCCTTTTTAACTATTCTCCCTGTGCCTAATCCGAGTCCGTACAGCCCCCCCAACGCTTAAACTAGGTTGCAAAGCCGCTGTACCCTGCAACTCCTAAAACTTCTCTTCTGACTGTGATTTATATTCTATAATAACAAAAAGGACAACAAAAATATACTGGATCCTCCTTGTGGATTACTTTTTCTTTCTTTCTCTTTTTTTTTTTTTTTTTTTTTTTTTTTTTTAATAATGCATTTCCTTCTTCCCCTTAATTTTTTTTTTCAAGGAAATTTGCTCCATCTCCAGCAGCAACCACTGCTCCTTTTGATGTTGTGGTACGCCGTGCGCATGCGCTTCACATTAGAATTACTGCACTGGCCAGAATAAGTTGGATCTCTTCTTCTCTTCACTGAAACCCTAAATCATATCAAAAGCTAAAGGGATGCTGAGAGTCCGGAAAAAGGGTTACTTTGGGATTTGGTCATTCCCTTTGATAATAGCTGCGGTGTGTGCACAGAGGTAAGTGATTAAGGCATCGCTTTTCCTTTACTTTGAATTGCAGCGCATGCTGCTGCTGAGAGAAATGTACAGCTGGGGGCTGAGAAATCAGAAATAATACAGTATTATTCTTTCTTTTTTCTTTAGTGTCAATGACCCTAGTAATATGTCACTGGTGAAAGAGACCGTGGATAGACTGCTGAAGGGCTATGATATTCGCTTGAGGCCAGATTTTGGAGGTAATTTGACTGCTTTTGCATAAGAGAGGTTGCATATCCGGGCTGGGTGCGTTGTGTATGGGGGCGGTTTCAAACGTCTTGTGGGTGCTGTTGCTTTGGGGGGTGTGTGTGTTGCCATTTCCTGTAGCTGATCCAAAGTTAAGCCCATTGTTTCTCAATTTTCTTAGCAAAGGATGCTCTTAATGCCATCACTTAAATCACTTGTATATTCGTAATCGGTCCCTCATTGTGTGTGTGTGTGTGAGATGATACTTTACCAACCTGTAATTAAATCCTGGTTTAACTGGTTTCATCGAGACGCAAACCTCTCTTAAGTTCACCCAACGTTTGTTCCTTTCAGCCTAATGTGCCTGTGATCACAGTTACTATTTTCGAGTACAAGACGTGCCGTTAACTGATACAAAAATGTCATTAACCCCCTGCGTGCTCCTACTTCGAACTAGTTTGTTTATTTCGGACGTGCTCTCTGTGGGTGGCCCTTTCCCCCCCCCATCCCTCTCCCGGGGCTGGGTGCTGCCGCTCCCGGGGCGCGGGGCTGAGCGTGCCGCGGAGGGGCGCGGAGCGGGCGCGCCGGTGCCGCACGTGTGCGCTGTTACATAAAGCACCGCCACGGCCCGGGCAGCGTGCGGCCCCGCTCCGGACCCCGCTGTGGGGGAAAGACGGGGGGAGCGCTTCATGCCTCCCTCCTGACTTTCTGGTTGTGTTCAAACGTCGTTTCATGTTCGCCCTGCTAACTCTGGTAAGAACGAGTTAAGTTCTTCGAGATCACATTGCGGACCATCTTGTTGGTTTGCAGGTCCCCCAGTGGCTGTGGGCATGAACATAGACATTGCCAGTATAGATATGGTCTCGGAAGTCAATATGGTGAGTACTTCGGGTTCGGGGCCGCTTGCTCTCTGAGGGGGTGGCTGCCGCTCCCCCCGCCCCTGCCAAGGCGGAGCGGTGCCCGCGGGCGTGCGGGGACCCGGCGCGGCCTCCTGCCCCGGGGAGGCGCCGGGGCGGGGCACACCGGCTGCTGGGGGGTCGGGGGCGGCCTTCCCCCGCTGCCGGCGGCTGCTCCCGGGCGGGGAGCGGCGGTTCGAGCGGGGCTGCGCGGGGCCGCTCCTGCGGCAGCTCCGGGGGCGCGCCCGCCCTCAGCGCCTTCCAGCGAGCAACGGCGCCCCCTGCCGGCCGCGCGCGCGCACCGCACCCGCGCCCCGCGCAGCCGCCGCGCCTCGGCCTCAGCCCCGGCCGTGCCCTTCGTGCGTGCCTTGCTGGAAAATAACAGCGAGCAGTGCTTCCCGTGTCTCAGCCGTGCACTTCCCAAGAAAAACAAAAAAAGAGGGGTTTGCTTCTGTGTGTGTGTTCAAAACTTATGTTTTGTTTTTTTTTTTTCCCTAGCCTGACATTTTTTTTGGGTGGTGATGAAAGAGTCAATGATTTTAGAAGTTTAATTTTTCCGAGATGTTTGTCTCTCTTATTTAGAACTGACTGTCCTCAAATACTGAACTTGTTCAGAATGTAGTAATTTGACGTGTTTCTTTCTGTGTTTCACTTACATCCCCTGACAGACTAATGAGGTGTGGAGAAAATTGGACAAGTCTGATTCATACTTTAGAAAGAGCTGTTCTTGACTTAGATGAAACTTTACTAACATTCAGTTTTATTATTTGGAAATGTTTGGGGTCCAGTTTTAAACTTTCTATCTTAATTTGCGTGTTAATTGGTTAAGCACATGGAATTTGGCCTAACACTCATAGGGGCTTATAAAGAACAACAAAAGACAGTAAAAGATAGTAGCACATGATACAAAAGTGATGCAAAATAAATGTGATTTTGTCAAGTATTCTTGAAGAGGTGTCAAGTGACCATCTTTTAAATGCAAGTGTGATTTTAGGTTTATTGCTGTAGCTGTAACCATGCATTTGAAAATAACACTTGGAAAGTTATCAGTTGTTTTAAGATCATTATACTACTAAAATATTTAATTCCTCAGTGTCATGTTTGGGTTCTCAGAGATGTTGCACTGGATGATTTGGAAAACATTTGTTCTCAAACTGAATGACTTGTCTGATGTACGGGAGTTTTTTTCAGAATGTAAAATAAAGCCCTTGGCCTAATTCGAGGATAACATTACAGGTTATTTTACTGTGGGACAGGGAGGTGTTGGTGACCGTGTGCTTGATGCTGCTCTTTTTCAAGATACCAGTGAACCTGAATAATTTCACCTTCTGAAACATTATTCTGGGAAATTTCTAAGTGGCTCAAAGAGGCTCCCAAACTTTGTATCACTAAACTTGTTATCTAGTGTTCTACCTCCGGGAGCTTTAAGTGCAGAGGAAGAAAAGTACACTGTATTTTAGACCACTTGTTTTTCATGAAGAGAACTGTGGGTAGGGGAAACAGGGACATAGAGTTATTTCTTAGCCAGCCCTGAGCAGTGAGGGAAGGATGAGGGTTTCTTGTTGGGGCTGCAGTCTACCAGGTCAGTGTTGTATCCTCCCATCCCTTCAGAACTGGAAAGTTCATGTGAAAAAATTGTTAAAAATCTTCTGATTATTTTCTTTGCTTCTTTAAATGGTTTCTAGACATTTGGTCTCCAATTAAAGGTGATGGCATATCAGAATACTGTGATCTGATACTTACAGCCTAACTGTATAAAGCAGTATTATTTTTAGTATTCTGTAGTCAGTTTATTGTGTTTCTATAATGAAATGTTTGACCTTTCTGAAAAAAAGTCTTTTCAGACTATCTGCAGATCTCAGAGGAGGAACTGTATATACAATTTTGTCCTACTAATTTGCCTAAAGCATTTAAGCTCTGGGCTTATTTTACTCTAAGAAGCCACCTATTTCTTAAACCCAGGCAATCATGTTACATAATTTTTTTTCACTTACAGTTTCATTAGAGACACCAAACCAAGATTATAATCTGCTTAATTGCAAAATGTAACACTTGACTTTACAATGGTCTGTATAACATAGCAAGTCCTAATATACCCTGAATATAACTTGAAATATGTGAGGAGAGAGACATACAAGGAAACAACAAAATAAGTATGCAAGGCCTTGGCTTTTTTGCTTGGACATTCACCAGAATCTGGAGTAGAAACCAGGAGGAACACCATGGAATGCCATGATGCAAAGCCTTCTGAGATAATAAGAGCCACAGAAAGAACCTTTTGGATTTATGGCCCTGTTTTGTTCTAAGCATGGCCTTGCTGTAGCTTTGTCTGTAGTCATGGCAAACACTACTGACTTTAGATAAAGGCAGATCATTGCCTGGACTCCTGTACTAACATTATTGGGGTCAAACCTATGCCTTGGGAGAAAGGCTAAATAATCATAGTTATTCATCTTGAGATAATTTCTATTAATTTTAATGTTTATTTATTTTAAAATTACATTTCTTTCTCAGTCTTGATATATTGCATCTACCATATAAACCTGTGCCACCCTGCAGGGAGAATGTTTCTGTCACTCCAGTGTCATGAAGTAAATCATGAAGTTTTCATTTTGTTGAACAGGATAATTTAGACTTGCTCTTATAGAAAGTAAAAGTATGTTAAGGATATTTAAGAATATTATTGTTGACTTGGAGTTCTTAGGGGTGATAAGTACTTGCATCATAAAGAACTCAGATTGTATAAGGCTTTACAGGTGCCTTATAATTATTTCTTTTATGCAACAGAGCTGAAACTGTAAGCTGTTTACCTTGGGCAGTCAGCAACTTGAACTAGAATTTGTCTGAGTTTACAGAAATGGTTTCAAAGTACTGGCACTTGTGAAAACAATTTGTTCTAGCTCTGGGGAATGCCTTGAATGAACATGAGAAACTTGTGAGAACTTCAAGTGTTTGTGGTTATCAACAAATATCATGACTATTTTGACTAATTTCTTTGTATTCTGCAAAGAAAAAATCTGCAGCAGGTATTTTATGTGATACAGGAATGATGATGGCTAATTCCACTCAGCAGCAGGTCCTGCAATATTGTTGAGTGTATCCTTTATTGTAGTTATACTGCAGATTTCCTTAGGGATTCTCTTATTCAGGTAACAATGGAGAACAAAGATGGAGATCTGTGAAGGCTACTTAAATGGTTTTCCTGGGCTAATGAATTTGATATTATGTAAGATTAGCTATGGTGCAGTGAGTCTAATGCAATGTTCACATTTCCACATTTTCCTCTCAGTTAGTTTTTGGAATAGACACCTTGAAAATGTAGCAATGAAGACTATTCTCCATTCTAATTTTCTCCCTTTTTCTCCCAACTATTCCCTCATGAACTCTTTGTAAAAACTGTTACAGGTTCATTAAGAAGTACAGAAATAAATTTTCTTCCCTAGACATGCCTGAAGATTCTGTGTAATATGTTCTGCATTTGGTCTATATAGATAAGACATGAGGATTTCTATGGATAATGTTGATCATGTGTTAGTTTTCAATGTCTTGGCTTATTCCCTATTAAATAGGTCAACATTTCCCTCCTTTCCCCTCTTGGTCTGTGGCTATTCTTGGATTCTAGTACAGAATGTCTTGAAAAGAGAGAGAAATATTCTGTAGCTACAGATTTTACTCAGGAAATATATGCTTGTTGAAGTTGGGTTGTATAATTGTCCTGGGGTGGCTGCATGGTCCAGTGTCACTATTGTCTGGGTTTTTTTTTTTGTCTAGATAAAAGTATAATTAAATATAACTATTCACACTGTGGGTGATCGGGGTCTGCAGAGAGGAATCTGAAGTGTTTATTTAATTCCCAGTGTTTGCTTGCCCAGTGTGCAGGTTTTGGCACATGGAGTCAGTAGTGCGTGTGCAGTTAGAGATGATATATTGGTTTGTCTTAGTGGGGCCATTACTGTTGATTGAGAGCATAATCCTTCCATCAAGTGGGAGTTGGAGAAACAAAGGAGCTGTTACCATCTATCAGGGAAAGGTTTATTTCTTAGTGTGTGCCAAGTTTTACATAGCAGAGCCTAATAGCTTCAAAGCTCTAAAAAAAAGCTTTTTATTTTTTCTAATATTATATTTCACTTCTGTATTTCAGTAATGCCCAAGTTGCACAAAACAATAAGTATAATTCTCATAGATCAGAATATTCTCAGAAATGTGCAGGCATAGCTGTAATTTGCTGGTAGACCTCAGATTTTGAGTTGCTCTTGATAATGGAAGCCCACTATTGGCTTACTTAAAATCTCTCCTTTTTCTTGAGGTATTTTCAGTAGGGGACATTAACAAAGCTCAGGGTTTAGATTATGAAATAGATTTAAATAATGAAAACAACAGGAGCTGTGTTGCTGCCTCTCAAATAGCAGCAATTATCTTTATGTGTGTAAAGGGAATTGATGGCCTGTGATATAAAAACAAATGGGGATTAAGTGGTAAGAAAATAGAGTGGAGCTGTTCCAAACCCCAACACTTCATGGAAAAGTCCTGAGAGAGAAAAATGAAAAGAGGAAAATTTGTCTTATATACACTGGTGCAGAAAGAGATGAGGAAAATGGTCATGGAAATGGTTTCTGTCAGCAATATCTTCTCATTTTAGTCCTTCCTCGTTGTTTATGTTGCTGCATGTATTCTGTAGAGAAAAAAAAGGAGAGAACAGGGCTGAAAATGCATTAAAAATGAAATATTGGAATATTGAGAAGGTGCTGCTTTGCTAAATACTTCTGCTGCCAGAAACAGTTGGTTTTATTAGTTTCTCTGTGTCATAAATGCATATGTTTCTTCACATAAAACTGCATTTCTCAGCAGACAGTTTGAATTTGGCTCTTGTCAAATTATTGTGCTTATGCATTACTGACTCATACTGAAATGTGTCTACAGAGACTTCTGTGAATGCAGAGCAGGTGATGTACATCTTGGAAGTGAGAACTTCTTTTTACTGA